CTGGGGAGCTGGAAGATGAGAACTGGCGACTTTCTAGGACAACTCTAGTACGCGGAGTATCTGGGGAGCTGGAAGATGAGAACTGGCAACATTTGTTGTGCAACTTTAGTACGCGGAGCAAGCTGTGGAGCTGGAAGCTGCGAACTGGCGACTTTGTAGTACAACTTTAGTACGCGGAGGCAACCCTCTGCGGAGATCGTGCGTGTCGAGTGCGCGAAATGCAGGCGAGAGTGCGATTTGACCTGGTCCTGCGCAACCCTCTGCGGAGATCGTGCGTGTCGAGTGCGCGAAATGCAGGCGAGAGTGCGATGTGTCCCGGTCCGGCGCAACCCTCTGCGGAGATCGTGCGTGTCGAGTGCGCGAAATGCAGGCGAGAGTGCGATTGGGGAGCTTGAAGATGAGAACTGGCGACTTTCTAGTACAACTTTAGTATACTCGTCTGGGCACCATGGGGTTGGGACCCTGGCTGATTGGGGTGCCCAACCTCATCCTAGCCACCAAACCTGAGATAAAATCTAGGAACCCAAGATAGAGCTTGATTTGGTCCGTTTTAGCCAAACCCGAGATAAAATGCCACTACCCCAACCATATATACACTTTGACACGCTGGGATCTTGAGCTCCCAAGGGAAATAATGGACCTGACAAACCACCCCTGGACACACCAGTCAACGTCGGCCCACCTCATTTTATCCTCTTTGGCGCTCCAAGTTTTTGTGTATTGGTTGCAGTGTCATCAGTGTAGAACACTAGCAAATACTAGCAAGCACATTGTGGGGTGCTGCAGGTCAGGTTTGAAGCACTGGTGTTACTTTGAAAGTTGCCCCCTACCAATTCAGTTGAGCAGTTTGTAAAAGTTTCAGGGGGAAGCAACATCAAATCCTCCCACATTGCTGGGTGATGACAGCTGAATAAATTGCTGGCATGCTGACCTTTTCTGCTGTTTTCATGTGTGGATGTTGGCCCCATGCCTTTTTAGCCACTGCTTGCCTTTGCTTTTCAGTGCTCCCCCAGGAGGCCCCAGGCATAGATGGGGTGCACCTACACCTTTCCTGTCCATCAGCAAGACACAAGCACTAACTATGATTCTCCCAAAGAGCATCCAAAACCACACCAAGAACTAAAGCTAAGTACTGCTAATCCAAGCATATTCCCAAAGGCTTGAGTTTTTTTCTTGGCTATCTTGGCTGCAGGTAAGGTCTTCTTAAGCCCTGGTGTTACTTTGAAAGTTGCCCCCTACCAATTCAGCTGAACAGTTTGTAAAGGTTTCAGGAGGAAGCAACATCAAATCCTCCCACATTGCTGGGTGATGACAGCTGAATAAATTGCTGGCGTGCTGACATTTTCTGCTGTTTTCATGTGTGGATGTTGGCCCCATGCCTTTTTAGCAACTGTTTGCATCGGCTTTTCAGCGCTCCCCCAGAGTCCTGAGGCATAAATCCTGTTGTGTAGTTTTTGGTACAGTAATCATCGAGGATTGGCCTTGCTGTCCCACGCGAATAACATTTCAAACGATGGCTACTTCCTGTATGGCTTGAGTTTTTTTAAGCCAACATGGCTTGAGTTTTTTAAGCCCCATCGTTATTGACTGGTGCTGGCCTATGCCTTCAAAAGAGACACTGTGGCTAAAATGACTTGGCTAGAATGAGGGGGTCCAACATCTGTTGAACATCTGTTGATCATTCTAGCCTACCCGGGTCTAGCTCCATGATCCATGATCTTTTAAATTAGCCAGCCCCAAATGGGGTCGGGTCCCTGGCTAGAATGCGTTTTAGCCAGGGGGTCAAGCCACCCCATCCTAGCCAGGGTGGCCGGACGGCTATCTTTAGTACGCGGAGTATCTGGGGAGCTGGAAGATGAGAACTGGCGACTTTCTAGGGCAACTCTAGTACGCGGTGTTTTTGGGACCAGGATGAAGCGCACACAAATCCATTTTGTGTGCGCTTCGACCTGCTGACGGTTTATTTCGTTTTTGTCTTGAAATGAGACTGACTTGTCTGCAGCCGTTTGAAGAGCGACTGACTTCTGACGAACCTAAGATATATATTTTCTCTCGCCTCTGTCCATTTACGTCTCAGCACGCTCGCATCCATACATCTACCTCTCCACCTCCATACATCTACACATCTATATGACACCTGCACATCCACACTGTCACTCCTTCACGTCCATCCTTTCTTTCTTTCTTTATCGATCTCTTTTCCACAGTACTGGACAATCACATGTCTCGCTCTCGGGCCACCCGTCGTCTAGTCATCTTTGTTTGCGTTGCCTCCTGAAATGTAGTAAAGTGTCTCTGTAGGAGAGGTGGGTATAATCTCTTCAACCCTCAATGATCCTCTATGTCCCTCGCGCACACCGTCGTCTTTGCACTGCGCGCACGTCGCGCCGCACGGGCCCACAATCAACGCACCTCGCGGGCCACATTTCACGGGCCCCGCTAACGAGGATCCACGGGCCACACGGGCCAACACCTGCATAACTCATCCCCGGTTCAAACTTGATCTGCTGCGTGCGGTTCTCTACGCTCTTCTCTTCGTTCTCTATGGCTAGCTTACTTCTTACCATACAGCTCTGCTTTCAAGCCAATCAATTCTTCATTCTGAGTGCGCCCGCGAGCAGTCATTAGTTTGTTTGAGAGGCAGGCTAGCGTTGCTCTTTCATCAAGATACCTGCGTGTGATTTTCATAACATATCTCAAGCTTGGCCCTTCCTGCTTCTGCCCTCCATTCCTTCTGAGATGAAATCTTGTGTTGGAGATTCTGGACTTGTTGATACATCTGCTCTGCAAATGCTCTCGGCCTCTTCGTTGTCTCTCATTAGCCCTTCCGTTTTGGAACTAAGCAATTGAGATTTTCCACTGTGTTCATGAGCACCCAAGACAATTTGGCGCATCACATCAATCATGTCCATCATCCTGTGGGCCAGTTGTGCTGCCTCCGATGACTCCATGTTGTCGTGCTCTTGAAGGTGGCGGTGTTATATCGCCATATATGATCATATATGTTGCGCCACTTCGAGCCAGCGCCAGTCTTCTCTCCAGCTCCTCGGCACGATATGTCACCTCTTCATCTTCTTGTTTGATTTTTGATAATGGTCCCAAGTTGGTTGCAATGGACAGTTGCCATGTACCCCTCTCTCTCTCTCTCTGTATCGTGCTTGAACTCCTAAGGATCAGCTGTGGTGGCAGCATGCTCACCTTTGGTGATGGCATACTACATGATTCGATCGAAACCCTCAACTTTTCCAGTAGTTGTGCTTCCCTTGATGTAATTGGACGGTGTTTGTCTCTAGACTCTAGGGTCATCCATGGATGCCGACAGCATTCCGCAGGATGGTGACGTTTCTTTGCTGCTGCTCTTTCTTGGAAGCTGTCCACCTCTTGATGCTGAATGCGTAGATCTCGGAATCTCGGAAATGTAGGTCTTGACGCGTTCCTTGGTCTCGGCGTTCTTGCCGCCGGTAGATGCTTCGCCCTTGCCATCCTTTGAGGCGTGGTGCATCCTCAATGGCTCCCGGCTCCTTGCCCAGACACTTGTGAACCTGTTGGCGTCGTCATGATTGAGCCGCCTTGGAGCAAGCGCCCGCATTCATCTGCGAACCGGGTGTTGGTTGTAAGGTCGCATCCGGCCCGGCGAGGGAACAGGCCCAGCTGTTCCACTCAGTGCTTCCGAAGTTGACCGCATGAATCATAGCAGGTTGGCCGTCGAGGAACTAAGGCGGATGCCCGTAGCTCAGCTCGCAGCAGAACGCTGCGGCGTACTACGGCTGATAACCTGTGAGTTTGCGAATGGCGCGGTCGACCATGTGCTCTCCTCTTTTCTCGCAACATGAGCCAAATGTATTGCGGATATGTACAAGACATGTACACTGTGCCATGCCTGTTGTGCTACTCATACTCACAATCAGGATATGTTGCCACGATCGCCGCTCCACTACCAGGTTGAATTCAAAGCTGATTGCGCAGTCTCCCTCCAAATTCAGGCTTGACTCAGGGCGCCTGCAGTTCATATTGTACAAACATGCCCTCGCCCTCTCTCTCTCTCTCTCTCATTGTGACAAACAACTTGTACCTTTGCATTTATGTAATCTTTCTCATCATCTTCGGTAGAAAGTTTCATCCTCGCAACATTATACAGTAGATCTGGGGCTCCGAACTCCCATGCTCTGCCTCCAATTTAAGACAAAACTTGGTTAATCAAAACTAACATGTTCAACAGGATGCTGATGACGGCTGAGGCGCCTTTCCCGCCACCTTTTCCTTTTCCTCTGCCTTTGCCATCTTTGCCCCTTCCATCTTTGCCTTTCCCATCTCGTCTGTCCTTCCCCTTCCGGCCTTAGCAACATAGCATGCAAAACGAATTCGGCCCAGCAGCTACAGGTGAGTACACATCACATGACCTTGCCTTTGCCCTTCCCTTTGTCACCCTTTCTTTGGGCATCGCGTCGCTGAACCTCTGCTTGTTGAGGATGTTGGATGCCAATGACTTTCTTGCACATCTCCAGAATCTTACGTCAGTTTGGTAGATGGACACTTGTTTTGCTGCTCTGTGCGCCAGGCAAATCGTTCCAGCTCTGGCGGAATGATGGCGCCACTTCGCACCAAAACGGATGCTATTTCTTGTGCCTTTTTGTCCTAACTGTTGACTTGCGTGAGTGGAAACACAAAGCCAAGCCCAGCTAGGACCCCCCCGTCCTCCTTGTGCAAAATCAGCAAGGAGTATGCCAAACCTTTATGGCCTGAAACTCAGCATGTGCCCGAATCAAACCACACAGCTTGGCCAAGTCTCACACCGGCACGGCCTGTCCTTCCAATACCTAGGCGACCCAGCCCAAAAGTGCCAAATAGAGATCGCACATGGTTGCGACTATACGTGCGTCCGTGCTACGGTGGACATAATCTTTTCCAGATCCTGCTGCATCATAGTTGATCACGCAGGTCACACCCTCAGGGCAATGCAATTGACAAGTCACCTTGGCCTTTACATGGGAAACCCCACCTTGATGTCAAGACCTCGTGCAGCAACATCGGTGGCACACAGAATCGGGCTGTGCCCACTTTTGAACGCCTCTGCGGATGTTGAAACTCAATGAAGGTGCTCTCCGTGACGACACATATGTTAAGGGCACGTGCATTTACAAAGTGTAATGTCCTCCTTTGTTCCAACATGATCCAAATTTTCTGAGGACAAACTGTGCTTGAACATATCTCGGCCAATTTATCACTAAGACTTTGCCATTGCGGCCTGTACATGGTCAATTTGTGATGTGCACTCCATCTGAAGCAGGCACATCAAAAAAACATGATGGGCAACACAAAAATGTGCATGCATACAAATTTTAAGAAAAATATATCCAGCGATCCCAAGCTCACACATGACATATATATGAATCACACTTGTTGTAAACACAGGTCCGCGTGAATCCAGCACAAATAGATCAAAACATGTGCACGTGAGTGAGTCTCTGAAAGACCTCAATTGTATTTACATTTCTTTTTGCACACTACTGTCACTACTGTAAGCCCTTGCATGTTGCAATCAACAAAGCAAAATTGCAACTTCCAGATGTCAAAGAGCCTTCCGTGACGTATGCTGTTGTTACAATCATGCCATTGTCTCGAATGTTGAGGATTGGTGAGCCCATCCTAGCTTTGCACTGCTCTACATGAGCTACAGTCAAGTCAAAACACTAAGTCACTAAGTTATTGCCATTAGAATAGTGGCCTTCCACATAGAACATTCGGGAACTCCAAAATGTGCATGTCACAGGGGTGCGTCAGATCTTTTTAGAATCATGTGCAAACAGAATACAGGGATTCTATAATAATTCATATAATATTGATATTGATATGCCGGTTTAACATTGGCACACGTTATGACGTTATGCAATTCCGCAACATTTGGCCATTGAGCACTCTATCTATATATATATATATATATAGTTGATTGAATCTAGTTACTCTAGTTGATGGCCATGGAGTGCTTTATCGATCACTATGGCCAAGCACTGCGTGAGTATTGGTTTGAAAGAAGGTTGCAAAACACGATGCTGGGAGAAGAGCTGCTGCCTTTGGTTGCTACAAAGACATCGGGGTTGTGGGGAAAAGGGCTGCTTGTTGAGCCACCGGCTTACCATGCAGCATGCTAACTGCAACATATCCTACAGTAATTACCAAATTTCACACCCACCTGGCCCACCCTAATGCGTTTTGAATATTTTAACTGCATGTATTTTTGTAACTTTGGAATCTTCTAACTGCTAGCCTGCTATCCTGTGTGCAACCTTCCGTGATGCTATGACATTGGCAGTCGTCCAACGTCTTCGAGTTAAAGATCTGTGGAGGCCTGTGCTGAACTGGAAGCACGGTCGGAAGCTTTACAGTCACAGGATCGGGTGGCCTCTATATGGAGCACAGCTGTTCACGGGTAAGCCCGCCCTACTTAGAGCGGCCTCATGGAAGATAAGCCGAATGCCTCTCAAACATTAAGTGTAGTAATAAGTAATAAGTGAAGCTTGTCATATGCTATTGAAGCATGGAAAGCTTTTGAAAGGGCGGGGCTGTGTTGTACATAGCTTTCCAATGTTCTGCACATCTACAGAAGTACTTCGGTGAGCACGTTAAAAAACACAAAAAAAACCACGCATCCACGGCACCCGGATCATTTTGGAACCCAGAAACGGATCAAATTTTGGACCCCAGATCATTTTGGAACACTGCAGAGGAACAGAAAACTCTCCAGGACTGCAGTCTGACACCAACTTCGCGGATCATTTTGGAACGCACATCCTGCGGCAGTGCTTCGAAGGCATCATGTGTTAGTTAAAATACAGTAAGCGTTTCGTACGAGACTTCCTCCAAAAGTGAGCCTTGCAAGTCTCTAAAAGGAGCGTTTCGTAAGAGACTTCCTCCAAAAGTGAGCCGTGCAAGTCTCCAAAACGAGCGTTTCCTACCGTGCAATGCTCCAAGAGTGAGCCGTGCAATGTTTGAAAAGGAGCGTTTCGCACGAGACTTCCTGAGCGTTTAGGAGACTTCCTCAAAAAGGGCTTCACGTCTTTAGGGTCTCTTTTGGTTTTGCTTAGGGTTTCACTCCTTTAGGGTTTCTTGTGGTTGGGCTTGCGTTAGAGGCTTTGGGTTTGACTTGGGGCTTCACTTCTTTGGGGTCTCTTTTCGTTTGGCTTATGGCTATGCTGCGTTAGGCTGTCTTTGGGTTTGACTTAAGGCTTCACTTCTTTAGGGTCGCTTATGTGTTCACTCCTTCAGGGTTTCTTGTGGTTGGGCTCAGGGCTTTGCGTCTTTAGGATGTCTTTGGGCTTGACTCAGGGCTTCACTTCTTTAGGGTCTGCTTTGGTTTTGCTTAGGGTTTCACTCCTTTAGGGTTCGCCAACACAGTTGGCGCCATAGCCAACTCCCAGGCTTGACAAGACAGAAAACAACAATTAAACAATGCAATTGAAAACAGAAAACTCCAACAACATTCTTCTATTTTTATCATAATACAGATTCGCCCTAAGCTCCAGAAGGGTATTTTTTGTGTCGCCCTAAGCTCTAAAAGGATAAATTACCCTTCCAACGGCAAAAATACCATTCTAAAGGATTGTTATAGAAACCAACATTTAAATTAAGAAGCCAACATTT